ATATATAGAGCTAAATATATATATATCTATATATATATATATATATATATATATAGAGCTAAATAATTGTTTGTTTGTACTTTCACATTTTATTCTCCAATGCTGACATTTGCTGTTTGGAGTGAAGCATTCATTATGTGTCCTTCTTTTTTCCAGGTCCGCTGTATGTTGAACATATGGGGTGTGATGCTCTTCATTCGTATGTCCTGGATTGTGGGTCAGGCTGGAATTGGTAAACAGTTGTCTCTTTACATCACTTTGGCATGGAACAGAGGTGTTCATTTAATGTGGGGTTCATCTCTTAGCTTCAGTTATGATGGTCAACCTCAGAGGTGAGGTTGTAAGGACAACAGTGTCAGCAGGGAAGTCCAGACTTTGTCCAGCTCTTCCAGGCAAATCCCGAGGTGTTCCCAGACCAGCTTAGAGACTTAGTCTCAGCAGCATGTCCTGACTTTTCTTTCGGTCCCCATCCCTGTTGGATATGACCGGAACACCTCAGCAAAGGCCAGGAGGTGTCCAGGAGATGTCCAGGAGGCATCCTAATTAGATGTCTGAGCCATTTCATCTGGCTTCATTCGATGCAGAGGAGCAGCGGCAGCTACTCTGAGCCCCTCTCAGATGACTGAGCTTTTCAAAACCTTGTTATTATTGCACTAAGTAACTGTACCGGACCTTGATGTTTAGCTGGCAAAAATTACTCAATACCATCATTTTGAAGTCCCAGTACTTGGAAAAATAACATGTAGCGAACACACCCCATCTCTGTGTCAGGAGGGGCCAGTGCCAAGAGTGTTGGTGTCCAAGTCGCACACATATAGAGAGAGAGCGCAGAAATGTGACTGTGTTGGGCTACAATGAAGCTACAGATGCTTCCCTGCCTGGGCCATTAGACATTTACCCATTTAAATCTGTCAAGCCATTTTTCCATATCACACATTCTTTTTGCATCGGGTTAAATCCTTCCCGTAAGAAATGGCTTGAACAATATAAATAAATATCCGGGTCTGGATCTTTACTTTGCCACGTTCACAGCCATCTGACCTAATTAGTACAGTCGAACCTCGTTTCAACTGTTTTCACCCCTATAACGTTCACATTTCAAAGTCACGAAGTAATTCATTTTCCATTTGCCGTTTTGCTGACAGCAAACACCTTTATACCGTAAAATTCATTGTAACAACCACTTTTTCCCACAAAATAGTGAGAGGGCCTTTGTTACAACAAACTGTGGGAAGCTAACTGCCGCCGCGACCTTGCTGATTAACAAAATGTACAGCGCATGATTCCCCTCTGTTGCAAAGCAATACTACTGATTGACTCGTACATTGTTGTACTTCTGGAGGCACGGCGCGGTCCTGAGGACGTGGTCTGAAAACATGCGTGGTAAATGAAAGCAAATCTCGCTGTGTGTGAAGGCTGAAATTGTCTCTCACTTTCGAAAGAGAGTCTCCCAGACCTAGCTCAGCCGAGGCCACAACGATGCAGTCGATGATTTCGACAATCATCCGTAATGGCAACAAAATCATCGCAGAGTTCTAGGCCAACAGATGAAAAGATGATGGTAAACGGATTCAGGGCGCCACACATCCTAAATCGATGACAGTTGGCTTCGTCGGCAGCACTGTCAATTGCCTATAGCGGGTGACAATTGCTGACTGAATGTTTTCAGAGATGATGTAGGAACACTACAGTTGTTTCATGCCTTATAAAATCATTTTTTTCTTCATACTGTATCCACATACTGTATTTGTAATTGACATGTTTATACTGTATTACATGTTTATGTTTTTACAATTATAAATGGTCATACTGTATTATTATTATTATATACATTGTAATGGGCGGCCATTTTATTGGAAATGATTACAGTGAGCTACCATTTTCCGTACAGATGTCCCTCGAGGTATGTTGGAACGAGGTTCGACAATTTGCTTTTTATCAATGACATTTTGAGCTGGCTTCCTTGATCGCCGCTGTTCTGTGGCGCACAGTGCAGAGATTGTACATTTCTCAATTTCATCTACAGGTACATGTGGAATTATACATTCTGTTCAGTATTATTATGCAACATGCATACAGCCGGCTGGGTCTTGAAGTATCAAGCAATTGCTAGCTTCAGACCCGTAAACAAATTTATTCTGTGTTTGAAAGCGGCTGGATCGATCACTCTTGGACCACTGGTAATTTCTAACAGGTTGATGTTTACACTTGAGTATTTCTGTTATAGTTTGTAATTTTATACTCAACCGGTGTGACTTTGACACCCGTGACTTACAGTATGTCGCAATACATAATCAAGTCAATGTTGAATATTCAGTGAGATTTTCTACTGCCGGATGCTTCAATATTTTGGGGGGTTTTGTACAGCACTGCATATATATATAATATATACACACAATTATCAGTAGTGTTTCAAGATTTTTATTTTTGTTCAATTGTCCGAAAATGTTTAAAAATGTTTAAAAGTATTATAATTCCAATAGTTTTTATCTGATCAATATTACTCTAATTAGTATCCTGATGGTATATGTTTTTTGTATTATCTGTACAGTACATGAATTTTTGTTTCCTAAATTATAAAACACAAACAAAAAGAACTTTTAAGTTGAGCTGTCAGCTATCATTTCACTGCTTTTTACTGATTTAAAAAAAACATTTCCATGGTGTCGTTTTAGTACAGGTATAGAGGGACTGTAAGCAGTGATATTATCTGAGTCAGTTTTAGTATCATGACAACACTACAACAGTGTTGATGGTGCTATGCTTCCCCCTCATGAGCCGCCAGTTTGTGGGCCAAAAGTTCCTCCCAATTATCGCAGGTCTGATTGTCATTGCCCAAGTGAGGATTGAAGCTCCCCAAGCAGAAAAAGGGAGTTCCAAGGGAACCCTTTTCAGCATCCCCTCCAATGAATCTAATGAGGATGGAAACACAAGGCTGCTATTTGGTGCCTCACCCGAAATACTGCCTTTCAAAATAGGACATTTTACAGCTGTAATTTTAATACCATGATACCACGATATTTTTGCCTATCGTACCGTTAGAATTTAATATCGGCCTGTGCCTCCTCCAGGGTGACAGTCAAACCCTTCTCAAGAGCTCTTGTGTGTATACATGTATATAAGTTGGAATTGAAAAAATCCGCTATTTTACTTCAAAAAGTACAAGGAGTCGCCTAGACTTTCATACAGTGGCTTGTCGCTATAACTGCATTTTTATTTCTCATTCAGCTCTCTTGGTTATTGGGCAATTTTGATGAAGCAATTCTAAAGATCACACTTTGTCCTCTACAGCCCTATCTTGCTTGATTGTTGCCATGGCCACTGTTGTGACGACGATTACTGGACTGTCTACTTCTGCTATTGCAACCAATGGGTTTGTTCGAGGAGGTATATCTTGTCTTTTCAAATACCGTCCAAGCATCTACAGCATTGTAATTAGAAAAGCCCAAAAAATTCATCAATTGTGTTTTGGTGCCACCCTTCCTTTTCGGGCAACTTAAATTAGAATCAGTAATGTTTTAATGTCCGTTTACTGCATTATCTTTCTTCCTGACATGTACAGTGCAGACATAAATTATGGTACATGTTTTGATTCTTGTCTTGATTTTGGCTTACAGTGTATTGTTAAGAGCGTTCTGACGGGTTAACATCTGTTTATATTTATGCAACTTTGCCTAAATACTATTACGCCCCTGAAAATTGAGTTCCACTGCATGAAATATGTTATTTCGCAATTGCAAATGCAATTTTGATCAAACCCCATTACCAATCTGAAACTCTACAGTGAAATCACATGCTGATTGTTTTATTTCAAATTCAATGTTGTTGTACTAAGCTAAGTAGTGGCAAAGGCAAAAATCGTATCATCCTGGATGTACCTGCATAGGTACATGAGGAACTGAATATGGTCCCCGTTGCCCTTACCATTAACTGTGACTGTGGCTGACTATGATTTGTAAATGTTCTTTCCTCTCTAGGTGGAGCATACTACTTGATTTCAAGAAGTCTGGGCCCAGAATTTGGAGGGTCTATTGGTCTAATCTTTGCATTTGCCAATGCAGTGGCTGTGGCCATGTACGTGGTTGGCTTTGCTGAAACAGTCGTGGAACTTCTTGAGGTAAGTCTCTTCACTTTTGATACTTCTCAAGGTGGGGGAGAAGAGGGGTAAACATTTATAAATAAAATAAAGATTTTCTTATCTCATTTGCTCGAACTCTGCAGGTGTCACCATTAAGAAACATGCAACACTGAAATATTGCAAAGTGCTTTAAACCCAGTAATATATGGTGAATTATTGCATCCTTTAGTATCCTCTACCAATGCAAACTTAGGAAAGCTCATATACTGTATCTGTAAACAATGTCGATACAAACGTGGCAGTCAAGATTTAAATTACTCTGGCCTATGTGTACTTGAAAAGAAGATATTCCGATGGACTCCAATGGGGGGGAAAAGGTTTACAAATATTATTCCCCTGCTAAACTTTTTTTTTTTATTTAGAATATTATGAAGTCATTCACTGCCAGCGACATTTATTTAAATTTTGTCAATTTGAGTCGAAACGTTTAATCATTGGGAGGAGTGAGGTAGGTTCTGCTTGTCTGTAATGACGTCAAGCTTGTAAACAATTATACTGACTACTAACAGATGCCAATTGATGGCATCACGGCTCAGGATTTGAATACACAAAAGGGCATTGATGCGTGTGTGCGGGGCTGAGGGGTATTGGAATTGGTGTACTGGGGTCCAACTTTTAGGGACTATTTAGGTAGGTTCAATCTGAGTTTTGGCAATCAAGCTACCATTGCAGTCAATTTAAGTATGTATGCAACATAGAGACTTCATCATTTGCATTTGGTAATCCTTAATCCTTTACGTGTTGAGTTTTTGATGAGCTTCAGGGCATTTTCAGATTTCACATGGGACCATGTCAAGTTTTGGGAATGACTGCATTCGTAGTGTTTGATTCAAAACAATATGAAAATAGACAATCGTGTTGATCAGTTCAGAAATCCAAGTTGAGGTCCATGAATGTCTCATTTTGCTTAAAACACAATTCTTCTTTCATGGAGGATGAAGGAAATCGTGTTGCAAAAAATGACATTTTATAGAACTTGGGCTCTCAGTGCTACGATTTGTGCATTTACTTGTCTTTTTACTCATGCTTTACTGTCTGTGTTTTACCTCAACCAGAGTATGACAGTTTTATTATTTAGTTTCTTGATAATCATATAAAATACAGATGCCCAAACTCAAGGCCAAGGGGCCAGATGCGGCCTGTCACATCATTTCATTTGGCCCGCAAAAGCAAGTCATGTATCAACTTCCTTGTCCATTGCTAAAATCTGTATCAACATTTTAAATTGCCACGTGTAATAAATAATGATGAGATTTTGAGAACATTGAGAATTTTTTATTAGTACAGTAATTTGAACAATACCTGAACAAACTTCTGTCGTTTACTTCTGATTTCAAAACTAGTAATATATCAGCTTGCTCTGGATTATGGAATAATACAATGAGTCGATTAAACATTCATTTGGTTTCTCTGCCATAACGGCCCTCTTAGGTCAGCCGTAACTACAAAGTGGCCCCGTGACATCCCTGAGTTGGTTTACTCTGGAACAATTTATACCCCGCCCGCAGCCTACCACCATTTCTGAAATGATGGCGGCGCCCCTGCCGCACACTTCCACACAATCTTGCAGCTCCACTGCAAACCTCTGAATGTGAAACTCAAATGTGCTGTTTAAAAAACAGCATCAACACAATGTTAAGAGCATACTGTTGCTGACATGATACTCTCTGTGTTGTACACTTTAATATCACACAGAGACAGTGAACTGGGTGACAGCTCCACTTGCATTACAAAAAAAAAAAACTATGCATGTTTAAAAACAAAAAAACAAAACAAATGTACTTAAATGTAATCATCGAAAGGTGGTTGTTCCATTAAAAGAAAACTGAATGAGCAGATAAATCAAACGGAGCCAAGCAGTCACATGACTACAGTGTCTCGGTCCAGCCCCACATAGACGTTTTCAATTACTGAATTGCGTAATACATGTGAGAAATCTATATTTACCATTACACGTACATTTGAATGATGGCACCTGCCAATAGTTTGATTACTTGTACCGTTAAATTTAAATGGAAATTCAGTGTGGCATGTCTTTCTTCTTACTGAACAAATTACATGAAAATGACCCATATACTTATATCGTGTAATAATGACCGTATCTTCCGAGTGAGCCCCTATTGTGTTGTTTCATGTGTAAAAATGAAGCAAGCTAATTTAAGGTCATTTATTGTCTTAATTTGCGTTGATTACTGTTATTTTATTCAGAACAATACCGATACTGGGCAAGATTGGAATGTGCATATTCTTGTTTTGTATAGTTTGTGTGTTTATGTAATTGCACTATTTAAAAATAAAAGTTACACCAGTGCCCAGTGTAGTAATTTGTAGTTTTTTTCACTGACTATTTACCCTTAAGTAATTGATTGGAGAACTATTTTTTTACTCTGCAGAGTAGAACTTGAGTTTTGAATAATTATCAAACATCCAACTGACACGCTCGACAATTTAGTAATTTGCAGTAAGCACAAGTTTCCTCTGCTCTGACAGCTTTTGTCAGTTAAGAATTTGAACGGGCCTCAATTCTTGGTTGTGTCAGCTTTCACAATCAGCCAGCCATAAGGCAATTTGAAAAGCACAAATTCAGTTCGTACCCATATGTTTTCACGCAAATTTTGAAAGGAAAGCCCTGATTAAAAACTAAAACAAAATGCATAACATTCTTGATGAATATTTTAATTGCTCTCATCTTTTTCAGAGTGTGGATGCCATCATGACAGACGAAATCAATGACATTCGAATTATAGGTACCATTACTGTAATCCTTCTCCTGGGCATATCTGTTGCAGGAATGGAATGGGAAGCAAAGGTATGAGTCTTGTCCAATTTTTCATACTTGGAAAGCCTGCATTAACTGTGTAGATTCTCAGGAGATGTGATGTGCATTTTTACCCCCCCGCCCCCCCAAAAAAAAATCACATACTTTATTAACGTAATTGGTGAATTTTCTCCTTTTAGGCCCAGATCTTCTTGCTCTTTGTACTCATCACAGCAATCATCAACTACTTCATTGGAACTTTTATTCCTGTTCAGTCAAAGAAATCTACAGGCTTCTTTGGCTATGACGGTATTCCATTTTGTTTTTATATGAAGCTACTGACAGGAAATGATGGAACATTTGTGGAGATGAATAAAATTTCATTTGTCAATTTACTGCTGAATCATTGTTGATCACAATGATTATTGGTATTATTCTTTTTGTAACAAGCTTTTTTGTGTTCTCTTAGGTTCTATCATGTGGGAGAACATGGGTCCTGACTTCAGGAAAGAAACATTCTTTTCTGTCTTTGCCATCTTTTTCCCTGCAGCTACTGGTATCCTCGCTGGGGCCAACATTTCTGGAGACCTTGCAGTAAGTCAACAGTTTTCAAATATTTTTTACTTTAGAGGCCAGGTTGACTGACACAAGAAGTGGAGACTCGTGACCAACAGTATGGTTTCATGCCCGGAAAGAGCACGAAAGTTGCTACATTTGCACTGAAAATGCTGATGGAGAAATCTGGAATGGCAATATGTTAGACGAGTCCAGGACATGTATGAGTACAGTAAGACAGCGGTGAAGTGAGCTGCCAGAGTAACGCAAGACTTCGATGTGACAGTGGGATTGCATCAAGGATTGGCTCAGAGACATTTCTTATGTAATACAGTAATGGTCAGATTGCCAGATGAGGTCGGACTGGAGTCTCCGTGGACGATGATATTTGCGGATCATATTGTGTTTTGCAGTGGAAGTACGGAGCAGGTGAAGGGAAACTCAAGTGGTAGTAGTAAATGATGGAAAGATAAGAAATTTTGGGAAGTCACAGCAAGAGGGAAAAGGAAGACTAAAGAGAAGACTCATGGATATGGTGGAGGATCCATAAACACTTTTAACAGAATATTATCCCAGCCCGATTGTGCACATCCCCTCTGCACAACCAAATAATTTGGTTAATATAATGCCTGAGCTGGAGGTATCTGTAAAAATCGTCCTTCTTCAAACCAAACTGCTTATTTAGATTTTGGAAACTATTCATTGTCCCTTTATGTAAGAATGTGCAGTATGCTGTTAAACCTTGTGATCCCCATCTTTCAAATCTTGCGTCCCACTTTTTAGGTAAAAAATCGGGATCAGATGCAACCCATCTCAAGATCTTCACCTCCTCTTTCAAATGATTTTGAGCTACTACCTTGTACCACATCTTGAGTGACAAGCAAATCCAGGGGTTGCCTAACGCCTTCACATTATTCATTCGGCCCTTGTCTCCAATTGTCGATTATATTGGAAATTCTGTTGTTAATGCGCTGTCAATGTCCTTCCACCTGGCATAGTATTTTAGGTTGCACAAACAAATCAATGGCCTTAACTGAGCCGCAATATAATAATAATAATACATTTTATTTATAAGCGCCTTTGAAGACACCCAAGGACACTTTAATATAGTAATCTTTTAAACATGGAAGGGCTAAGAAGCTTATAGTAACGGCTCTAACCAAAAAAATCATCTCAAAAATTTACAAGGGGCTACAACAAATAAAGCAAAGCTCACTGCACATAAAACAAAAATGGGAGCGGGAAGGTAATATGGTCTTAAAGGAAGAAGTTTGGGAAAATCTCTGTGAGGTACAATGGAAAACTTCAAGCTCACGGGTTTGGCGAGAGTTTTGCTGGAAAACGCTAATAAGATTTTTTGTCACCCCAGCTCAAAAGAGGCACTACATTAATTCTTCTACATGCTGGCGGCAATGTGGGTGTCTTGAAGCAATCCATTTTCATATATTTTGGAGCTGTACATCATTGGTGCCGTTTTGGCGGGAGGTACATAAGGTTCTACAGAGTGTTTTTCAGAGAGACATCCAATTTAAATTTGAGTCTTTATACTTAGGGGCCATTGAATCAGAAAACGTTTCTAATAATGTTACATATTTATTTCAGATCCTAACTGCCGCTAGCAGAAAAGGTATTACAAGAAAGTGGTTAAAACCAGAAAAATCTACTGTTGAAGAATGGATCGACATAATCTATGATATGTTTAAAATGGAGAGAATTACCTTTACTTTGAGATTGAAACAGGAAACTTTTTTGAATAGATGGGAAAGATGGATGAAGTATATCACGCCACTACGACCATCATTTGTTTAGAGTTGACTTCTGTGGCCCCCCTTTACTCTTTCTCCTCTTTTATTTGAGTCTGTATTTTAGATTTCCTATAATCGAAAGCGTAATGAGTCCGAAGATTACCCCACTACATTTTTGTTTGTTTGTTTGTTTGTTTGTTGTTGTTTTTTTTTTCCTCATTTTACCATTGTAAAAAAATTGTGATACAGTTATACTCCTTATTGGTCCTTACACGTTATGTATTGCTTACTCAGTCCTGGTTATTTTAAATTGAGCTACTCTAGTGTAAGAGCAGTTGTACAAAGGAATTCTATGCTTTGTTCTCTCATTGACTGTATGGACCTGTGAATGCATAATAAAAAAAGAATTGGAAAAAAAAGGATATGGTGAAGGAAGGATGATCTGTAAATAATTGATCTAAATTATTTTTAATCTAATCTAAATATTGCTGAGAAAGCCCCTATTTTTGTTTTAGATTCATTACATTATTGAGCGCAGGCGGATCAAAAGATTCACATCACCAAAAAGTGGTATTATAAAGTATTTTATTATTTTTAAACAGACTTGAACGGAGGCAGTCCAATCCATTTACTTTCTGCTGTATTTGAAACTAATCCCAAAATCCTACCTGCAACCTTTAGTTTTGACCACCAGAGGGAATATCACTGTTTTGTTTTTGTAAATCTCCAAATAATTACAAAATAAAAATAAAAGAAAACACCAGGTCTATAAAAAGTGCTTAGGTTAACATCAAAAACAGTAAGAACACTTTTTTGAGCAAAAGTACTGAACACGGAACTTGCTTCAGATAAATAAAACAAACCCTTAAATCACAGTGCTGTAAGTTAGCACTTCAGAAATAACACTGTTCATCATGACAAAATAACGTGCTGAAATAAACATCAACCACTTCCAATAGGCTACAGAGGACACAGCAGCTATGCTGACTTCATGCATGGTACGGGGTGTTCTCCTCGAGTTTAGTTTGGCGAAGAGCTTTGCTATGGCTCCCTCTATTGCTAACGCTTTCGGTGCTAACAATAGCCATGGATGCATTCGTGACTGGGTGCTTTGCATTGATATAGGAGGCTAAACTTGAGCTGGTGGTAAGCAAACTCCTGACAAATTAAGCACAACACTCTACCTTTAGCAATAGTGCCGTCAGGGCGTTTTTGGAATGTAAATTGTCCATTCACTGTGCCGAGAACTCTCACATGGTCCTCCATTTTCACCTCTCCTCACCGCTGCTGATTTAGCCCACCCAAATCCAATAGGAGCCAATCAGTTTATGCTAAACAAGCCCAAACATCATGACAGCCAATCAATGTCCGCTTCAGGCTGTGACTGACAGTTGTTTCCCCACCCTCAACAACTCGAACACAGGAAGCGAACACATAAAAAGGGATATTAGAAAAAGGCAACCCACCTACAGAAAAAATAAACTTTGAGATTAAAAATTAGATTAACGCGATTAAAAAACATAACACATTAAGTATGGCTGTAATTAATTAATCACAATTAACTTGATAATTTGACACCTCTACATTTTTTTGCTGGTGTGACTTATAATCAGGAGCGACTTGCAGTCCGGAAAATACGGTAACAGAATTTTTTTCCAGAATATATAGAAACCAATCAATATTTTATGTTTGTTCTTTTTTCTTTTTTTTAACTGTTCTTTGTTCCCTCCTCCCTGCGACCATCGATGAACTCATGCAAAAATCACTTGCGTACTAGATTATGTTATCAGAGACATGCCACGTGCTGCACACGTTGAACCCTTCGGTCCCAGAATAAATTTAGGATGTTCAACACGTGAAGCATTCAAGATCATTGAGCTGAGATTTTGTCGTTTTCAAGATCATTGCTTTTGCAATGATTTTGAGAACAACTTGTACTGCATTTCGGGACCGATAATTTTTCATTTGTCTCTGTGATTGGTAATTTCATGCGTGTCTTTTTCTTGGATGCTTTTTCCAGGACCCACAGCTGGCTATTCCGAGAGGAACTCTTCTGGCCATATTGATCACTGGAATAGTTTATCTGGGAGTTGCTGTTTCTACAGGTACTTGGTTCTTTGTATATCCTTTACAGACAGATGATAAGATTGCCTATTTTTTATTTTTTTTCATTTCAATAGTATCCAATTACTTTTGCGCGGTTGATACTTGCCACTCCAGGTTCATGTATCGTGAGGGATGCCAGTGGAAATGACACAGTCAGTTCTCAGTTCCTGGTGAATTGCACTGATGCTTCCTGCAAATTTGGCTATGACTTTTCTTCTTGTAAGAGTGTCAAAGGTGGCTGTCGCTATGGCCTACACAATGATTATCAGGTATGAGGCATTCTCAATCATTACAATTACGTATATTTCAGAATCAAAATTTGTTGATTTATTAGGTGCACAACATAAAAGATGTTTTAACTATGTGTCCAGGTTATGAGCATGGTTTCGGGTTTTGGACCCATCATTACAGCTGGAATCTTCTCTGCCACCCTGTCCTCAGCACTGGCGTCGTTGGTCAGTGCACCCAAAGTATTTCAGGTGAGCCATCATGTTATTTTGTGTAAGACTTTGTCAGGATTATACCCGGACAAAGTTAAACAAAAGAGTCGACACACAGCGAAGATTGTCTTTGCAGTCGGCGGAAGCATGATTTCCCAAAGCAAACGACGGCAGTTGCTCCGCAATCACACTCAAAGTTCCTCCTGCTCCTCGTCGGACTTTTATGTTTACATATGCAAAATACAAGAAAAACACTGCCCCCGATATTTGCATACCACGCCCCCAGTCCAGCCCCTCGGCGGTGATTCGATTACTTTTGTCAAGCTTTGAACAACAGATACACTGATACCTTCATGTCTGGTCTGCCACGAATAAGCAAGTTGCAGACTTCGCAGATGACAAATGTTTGCCTGGGCGCGACACTTATTACCAGTTCCCAAACCGTCTTTTGATGTTCTAAAACACTTCGTTCCTCAACTGTTTACTCCCACTTCCAAGCTGAGTCTAACCTCCTTACATCTGTTCGCACCCTTGCTTTAATGTGATTACTGTGGACTTTAAAAGGCCCTCCGCCCGACACGGCCGACACCCTTGCGCACAGGCATACACTCCAGAACGTCGATCCATCCATCCATCCATTTTCCACCGCTTATCCGGGGTCGGGTCGCGGGGGCAGCAGCTTTAGGAGGGAAGCCCAGACTTCCCTCTCCTCAGCCACTTCTTGGAGCTCTTCCCGGCAGATCCCGAGGCGTTCCCAGGCCAGCTGGGTGACATAGTCTCTCCAGCGTGTCCTGGGTCGTCCCCGGGGTCTCCTGCCAGTGGGACATGCCCGGAACACCTCACCAGGGAGGTGCCCAGGAGGCATCCTAATCAGATGCTCGAGCCACCTCGTCTGGCTCCTCTCGATGTGGAGGAGAAGCGGCTCTACTCTGAGCCCCTCCCGGATGACCGAGCTTCTCACCTTATCTCTAAGGGAGAGCCCGGACACCCTGCGGAGAAAACTCATTTCGGCCGCTTGTATCCAGGATCTCGTTCTTTTGGTCAGCTCGTGACCATAGATGAGGTTTGGGACGTAGATCGACCGGTAAATTGAGAGCTTCGCCCTTTGGCTCAGCTCCTTCTTTACCATGACAGACCGATACAAAGTCCTCATCACGGCAGACGCTGCACCGATCCGCCTGTTGATCTCTCGCTCCCTCCTGCCCTCATTCGTGAACAAGACCCCAAGATACTTAAACTCCTCCACTTGGGGCAAGATCTCCTCCCCGACCCGGAGAGGGCACTCCACCCTTTTCCAACTGAGGACCATTGTTTCCGATTTGGAGGTGCTGATCTTCATCCCAACCGCTTCACATTCAGCTGCGAAACGCTCCAGTGAGAGTTGCAACCTCTGACTCTGACACTACAAGGACCGTATTAGGGACCTCGGTACGCCATACTCCTGAAGCACCCTCCACAGAACCACCTAAGTGACATGGTCGAACGCCTTCTCCAAGTCCACAAAACACATGTAGACTGGTTGGGCAAGTTCCCACGTACCCTCGAGGACCCTGCTAAGGGTGTAGAGCTCCACAGTTCAACGGCCGGGACGAAAACCACACTGCTCCTCCTCAATCTGAGGCTCGACTTCCTGACGGACCCTCCTCTCTAGCACCCCTAAATAGACCTTACCAGGGAGGCTGAGGAGTGTGATCCCTCTTTAGTTGGAACACACCCCCTTTTTAAAAAGGGGGACCACCACCCCGGTCTGCCAATCCAGAGGCACTCTCCCCGATGACCACGCGATGCTGCAGAAGCGTGTCAACCAGGACAGCCCCACAGCGTCCAGAGCCTTGAGGAACTCCGGGCGGATCTCATCCACCCCTGGGGCCACCGAGGAGCTTTTTAACCACATTGGTGACTTCAATCACAGAGATAGGAGAGCCCACCTCAGGGTCCTCAGACTCTGCTTCCTCCAAGAAAGGCGTGTTGGTGGAGTTGAGTAGGTCCACCGGTTCACAACGTCTTGAGTCGAAATCAGCAGCGCCCCATCCCCACTGTACACAGTGTTAGTGGTGCACTGCTTCCCCCTCCTGAGACGTCGAATGGTGGACCAGACCATCCAGAACGTCTAGACATGCCCAAATTAAATGAAACTTTAAACATGATATCGTTTTACTCGTAGAGTTCTCTATCAGCCTTTCACAAAATTGAACCTGTGCCTCACCTTGGCAGAGTTGAGTGCAATGCTCAAAGGCACCTTAGCTATGAATGGAGGTTGGTCAGGCGTGGTGTGCAGCACACTCATTCCTCCACCCATGGCATTATGTTAGTTGAGGATTGAATACAGACCCTTTGGTTACAAGGTGCATTTTTGGTCACACGCCATATTGTAGATGTGTCCCGAAACAAGTAAACAAGTCAAGTTAAAATAGGCTCACAGTTATAAGAAACACGCTGTACTGTATATATTAACAACACAATTATGTTTTTTTACAGGCTTTATGTAAAGACAACATTTACCCTGGCCTTGGAATGTTTGCCAAAGGTTATGGCAAGAACAACGAGCCTCTCCGGGGCTACATCCTGACCTTTGTAATCGCTCTTGTGTTCATCCTAATTGGTAAGGTAGCTGCTGGATTACAGAGTGCAAAACTGCAAAATAATTAGTGATCCAAGAGTATTACTCTTATAGAATTTATCTTAGATAAACATTTGAGTTTGAGGTAATCTGAGAGAGTTTTTTGTTATCCTGTTTGTTGTCTGTGATGCAAATCTCACATAAATTTGATAATTAGGCTGATCCGAGTTAAAAAATAAATAAATAAATAAATAAATAAAACAGAAGAAGGCATTTTATGGCTGCTGGTGTCTCCGAAGTCCCAGGAACCTCTCTCCAGGATATTCCAAAACTTTTCAATCATTTATAAAGCTATAAATACTACATGGATGGGTTATTGGAGACGGTCACGATGTTCCATCAAGGCTGCATCGTTGGCAAGGAGGTGGTGGAGTAATGTTTTGGGCTGAAATATTGAGAAGTGAAATGATAAATCTCTTTAGTGTAGATGTATTGAAGGTGTGGATCTTGTAACTGTTATGTTCCTCCTAGGGTAAAAAAAAAAAAAAAAAAGAGGAAAAACAACCTGCCTTCCACAGTACAGTGATTCTCAATCACGATGAAGCACCATCCCACGCTTCAAAATCTGAACAAAAACAGCATCTACTTCACCATTCTGGACTCATTGTAATTGTCCCCTATTAGAATAAACCTGGTCTTGAACATGGTCCTGATGATTGAGGGTATAAATATAAGGGTGATACTATTCGAATCCACATTTTTCCATACAAGTTTATTCAAGGAACAGAGAAAGTATAATCCTATATTTAAGCATGTGAACAACTGGTCATTTATCTTTTCTTTGCAGCTGAGCTGAACATCATTGCCCCGATCATCTCAAACTTTTTCTTGGCCTCCTATGCATTGATCAACTTTTCCGTGTTCCATGCCTCATTGGCTAACTCCCCAGGTAAGTTATAGGAAGATAGGTGAATTACTGTAAATGTAACCTATTATGATAAACTGCGCAGTTACGGGCTGGTAGGAGTCTGAAAATTAATTCAAAATTTGAGTGGGCACAATCCAATCGATTTATTTTTCCTCAAAGGCATTAAGTGACCACATTCTAAAATGCTTGCAGGGAACTTCTGACTAGAAGGTTTGGAGACAAAGCTAATGAGGCCGGATGATGATTGGACATGTGAAAAGGAGGGACAGTGGATATATCGGTAGAATGATGCTGCCAGGTAGGAGGCAAAGAGGTGATTTATGGATGTGGTGAAGGGAGATAGCTGAGCTGTTGTTTGAGCAGAAAGTGCAGAGGACAAGGTGAGGTCTATAATGATTTGCTGTGGTGACCTCTGAATAGGGTAAAGCCAAAAGGGAAAGAAGAAAAAGCCCCCCACCCAAAAAAAAGAAAACGAATCAGGGAATGCCACCGAGAATTTTTTTTTTTTTTTTTTTTTTATGTTACAGTATGCCTGAAATTATCAACTCATTTTAAATTGAGTGTGCTTACTAGGGAAGAAGACTAAGATGATGACAATTTAGTCGCGTACTGGATCAACAAACTTATTTTGAAATGGAATTAAAATTACATATGCTCCACTATAGTATGGAAATCTGCTATAAGAGGGAATGTGATGATGACGTTGATCAGTAGAGTACTACAGAAATCATTGATAAATCTTACTATTTCGAAAAGAGCTCATTTTTTTCAAAATAAGATTTTTGGTTGTTTGGTTAAAAAAAAAAATCAATCTAAAAAAATATTTGTTCACATTTGAAATCTACAAGTAATCTGAACTGCAATATAGTGAGGGCTACTGTACAGATCAGGGGTCACCAACATGGTGCCCGCAGGCACCAAGTAGCTCGTGAGGACCACACCAATAGCCCGTCAGTGCTAGGATTCTGATTTGCAAGTAGAAATTACGATTTAAAAATGCAAACACTGGCAGCATTGTGAGACATCTTTAACCCTTTCATTCCACAAGACTTACTTGTACGTCTTTTTAAAATTAGGCCCCGCCTACCAAGGATGTACTTGTACGTCTTAAGTCTTTTTTTTTGTGTCATAGAGAGGAGGAGGGTCTGATGCAATCTGTGAATGAGAATAAACCGTTTGCATTGTAAAGCATGTAAAAAAGCGACCAGTATTGCTTAAGAATGGAAAAAGATTTTTTTCTACTGAAAGAAGAGAGTCCAAACTTTATTATGGTAGGCTCCATGTTTATATAGCATTAGAACCAAATATTCTGTGGACCTTGCAAGATCAGTCAAAATCCAGGAAAACGCTGGGATTGAGGGGATTGCTCAAGTGAAAATGGTTGGGATTGAATGAGTTAAGATGATCAGAGCCTGAAAATTAAAAGCATTAAGTATGAAAAATAACACATTCTAATATTATTAAATGTAATTTGTACAAATGTTATTTCAGACGTGTATCAATTTGGTAGCCCTTCACACAATCAGTACACATGAAGTAGCTCTCACTCTCAAAAAGGTTGGTGACCCCTGGTATAGATAATAGTACCGTACCGCAATCATGTTCAGAAGGCTGAGATTTGGGTGGGGATGTGCACGGAACACCTCTCCATGAAGGCGTCCAGGAGCTATCTAAAAAGATGCCGGAGCCAACTCAAAGGGCCCTTCTCAGTGTGGAGGAACAGCAGCAGCTCTACTCTTTGCCCCTCCTGGATGACTGAGCCTCTCACCCTATTTGTAAGGGAGAGTCTGCACACCCTGAGGAGGGAACTCATTGCAGCCACTTGAATCAGTTATCTGGTTCTTTCGGTCTCTGGTTATCCCAATGGGCTGCTGCCGGGTGAGGGGATAATATTTTCTAAGGTATTTATTCGTCATAAAGAGTTGTGAGCTGTGCGGGTTTTTTTTTTGTTTTTTTTTTGGGTGGGTGGGTACCATTTTCTCTATGTGACCTTATGCCCCACGACAACCTATGGGACACTCTAAGGTGATGGCTTAAAGAGGAGAAATGAAGTATTATTAACAAATACTTGGTATTTTAAATACAGTACTGATAATTAAATAATGGAACTCCTCAAAGCCCAAAAATCAAGCAGTAAACAATGTGTGCTGTCAGTCCTATTATGTTAGTACATACTGTCTCTTATATCTCACAATAATACCGACACGATGCCATTGATCAGGTGGTTAGCTGCATCTTGATACAACAAAATCACTAACAAAGCTGGTCTAAAATGAACACAGCATTACAGTAGTGGAGGTTTTTTTCATAGAGACTGCTTCTTTAAACAGCACTGTCTAGTGAGTTTTCATTGTTTTATTTTCTTGTTTCACACTCAAATAAGTTCAAATAACGGAATACAAACATCATCACCATGTCAAACCTATGATATTTGCTAAATAAAAGATAACTTTAAAAAAAAATTTTGCAAAATCCTTGAATACATCCCAACTTGCATGGGGTATACAGTAGCCCTTTCAGCATGTCCTTAACAGATTTTGAGGCTGTAGAAACATCAAGAAGCAGCTTGAAAACTGCACCGTACGCTTATGATTTATTTATAGACACTGTTATAAGAAAGAAAGGTGTGTACGTTATTTTTGATGTGAGATGATTTACTGCAATGTTTCTTTTTTTGTACATATTGAATTCTATGCTCTTTTCTCCTTTAACCCCAGAGCGCTAGCTGTGCTCCAGGTACAGATTCTCTGTCTTGCGTCTAATTACACCAAGCAGATGATGTATTTATTTACCTGGACATAAATGGTACATGGCTCAATTTGAGGCTTACAATTTTGTAAATATTGAGGAAATAGACTGTCTGACAAGATCTTACCACCTCTCTAAAAGCAATTTGAAAATAAAGTTTAAGTCTACCAATTACCAATCTCACTCAGGGAAAATCCTTACATAATGCTGAGTGAAGTAGCATGGTCAATGTACCCTTTATGTGTTGTGGTTGTAGTCACTGTGTAACAATGCAGTATCTCTGTGTCCCATCACTAAAATCCTATTACTTCAGTTTTTGTGGAACTCCTACGATGAGTGAGTAAATATGGTCCCAAATAGCAGGTGTAACTCTCTGATCTCATGCGTAACAGACTGATACCTCATTCTTTAACCTAAGTACATTCAACATCAAGATGCTTTCTCTCCATGTTCTTTGTAATGTGTTTGTAGTTAATGAGTATAATTCATAAGAAAAGAAAAGAAAGGAAGGAAAAAAACAAGGTTTCTTATGCTGTATCCCCTTTTTGTCTTGAAAACTGCTCAAATAATTGTTTCCTCGTTGGTGTATTTGACAAACCTACTTGAGTTTAACATCTAATAATTTGTTTCATCATTTTAACAGAAGTATTAGTTTTGCGGAGGTTTAGATATGGATATGACAGTGGTAGTTTTAACATTTTTTCGCATCTTTGTTCTGAATTGTGACTTGTGTCATTGATATCACAGGGTGGCGTCCCAGCTTCAAATACTACAACATGTGGGTTTCGCTTGCTGGAGCTGTACTGTGCTGCGTGGTAATGTTTGTCATCAACTGGTGGGCTGCTCTCTTCACCAACGTCATTGTTCTGGCACTCTATATTTACGTCAGCTATAAAAAGCCAGGTAAATGTGTCATCTTAAAAGTGATCTTAATTTTATTTCTCTGTGTATCCCAACGATTCCCGACCTACCATTTGAGAAACACCAGCTTAAATCACATCTGGTTTGGTTGCATAGGTTTAAAATTGCCGTTATTGTATTTATATGATGCACTTTTTGGTGAGACATATTTGAGAGAGTGGAAGGAAAAATTATATGAACCCTTGGAATTTCTTAAATTTTTGCATAAATCGATCATAAAATGGAGTGCGAGCTGTATCTAAATCACAAGAATAAGTAAACAGAGCCCGCCTAAACAAACATCACACAAACAATTATGTTTTCATAATTTTTTTAGAAGTAAACATTCACAGCGCAGGGAGGAAAAAGTAAGTGAACCTTTTGGATTTGAAAACTTCTTCCCCGTCGTGAGTGTTGACAATACTTGTTATACTCTTGGAAAAATATGAAAATACAGTATTCTCTTGTAAGCAATCATATTTGCGTTGTCCAATATTTCCTTATAACAGAATTTCCTTATGTGGGAACCGACTATGGTACATGTCCTTTATGAACATGCAAGTATGTTAACAAAATTCATGTGTAACAACACAAGCAATATAATGCAAACATATATGGTAAAAAAACTGTATAACACAAAAACTGCACCATACAGTACAGGTATATGAACAAAATACAGCATAACAAGACGGGTCACAAAATTAGCTACAAACGACTATTAGCTACAAAATGAGACTGGTAACAGACCTGGTGGCTATTCTTTCCACTCACTTCCCGGTCTCTGACTTTACCTCCCCTCGGTCAGCACACGAGACAGCATTGCTCAGCTGATGTCAGGCAACGAACTTTTTAAGACAGCCACGGGATGCTTCGAAGTCCTCTATGCCCATAGTTAGCACTAAATAGAGGCGCGGACACAGTTATTCCGTAGTATGGAGTGGGACTTGCTTGAGTTTGTGCTACTGCGGGCTTTCATATGGCTTCCGGGTACCGGGTACCGGAACTTCCGTTGTCATGAATCAAGCATTAATGTAATATCGTAGTCAAAATTTTATGGCATAGGTTTTTATTTCGGTTTGATAGAAGTATGTAGGTGGGAATACTTATTGTATCTAATTGTTGAATGGTACTGGTATAAGAAGAGTATTTGTGTGATTCACATTAAGACCACAGTTTATGAACAATTTATGCAAAAATTAATCTGGCATTGTATTCAGTTAAATTTAAGGCTCAGAAGTTTATATGCTGATGGAAAAACATATTCAAGTTAAAGAAAAGGTGTTTCACATGACCGAGGTTAATTCCATACTCACGTTTAGCTTTCGGTTGAATAATTCTACCGCAGTTATTCAAGCTCCTAATGTTGCAGAATATTAAGGTACACTTTATGGTCTTGATCCTTACTGACACTTAACACTTCGTCGAAAAACTGGAGTTGATACAAGTCCTCATGTGATACATCACTGTCACGCTGCAGTGTGCCCTTGCAACCTCTACATATGTAACACAGGGTTTATGACTTGGAACACACCTGTGTGCACAGTTTGACATGCAGCTATACATACATACAAGACTTTCTTATTGCCTGTAACGCCACATGCGACAGATGCCCTGTGGTTCAGCAGGGTGACCCACAAACACACTTCCTAATTCCAATATGTGTTTCTGTATGCATACTTTCTCTCGTCCAGATGTAAACTGGGGCTCATCGACCCAGGCTTTGACCTACCATCAGGCTCTCACCCACACTTTGCACCTCAGTGGAGTGGAAGACCACATTAAGAATTTCAGGTATAAAAGACAAGTAAGCACTCGTTTACCGGTCATTGAAATTATGTGGATCATCTTTGTGTTATGGTTAGATCAAGTTAACATCAGAAGCTGAATGGTTATTTTACCATCTACAGATCAGATGGAAACTAATAAGCAGTATAAAAGGCATCAAATAGTGTCTTAAGGATGGTTTGTGTGCCCTCAGGGTTCATTCTCATGTCCCCTCGCCACCTATCCATAATCCCAAAGAGATTAACATATTTGCTTTGATTGTGCTAATCTGCTTTAGGTAATCTCCCCGACCCACCAATACTGCCGACCTCACTATCATCATCATCATCATCATTCTCTTCCGCTTATCCAAAGTTGAAGTTGGATAATGTGGGTAGCAGTTTACGCAGGGAAGCCGAGTCCCTCTCCGTATCCACTTAGTCCAGCGCCACCTAGTCGATCCCGAGGTGTCCCCAAACCAGCTTCGAGACATAGTCTCTCCAGTGTGTCTTAGGTCATCCTTGGGGCCTCCTCTCAGTGGGACATGCCCATGATCCAAACAAGATGCCCGAGCCACCGCTTCTGGCTTCTCAGGATGCAGAGGAGCAGCCGCTTGACTCTCAGCCCATCCCGGAAAACCAAGCTTCTCACCTTATCGCTAAGGAAGAGCCCAGACACCCTGCGGAGGAAACTCATTTCGTCCGCTTCCATCTGAGAGTAGGAACGTATGTCTCACAGGCCAAAAAGGCCTAATATGACTCCTCCAGTCTGACGGCATCACTTACCCGCAGGTGTCCACCTGTGGGTTTGGTGATTACATTGACCACATTACGACCACAGCTCTGATCGGCCACCTTGACATTGTAGGTGTGGAATATGGTCCACTTGGACCCTGCCTCCCTCAGGACATGGGAGAAGTTCTGCCAGAAGTGGGAGTCAAAACTATTTCTGACAGGGGATTCTGCCAGATGTTCCCAGCTAACCCTCACAATGCGTTTGGGTCTGCCAGGTCAGACAGACATCTTCCCCCACCATCAGATATAACAGACGACCAAGTCGTTGACAGCTCTGGACCTCTCTTTACCTGAATGTCCAAAACAAACAAAGATCAAACTGCTGCCTTGAGTGTCCTGCTGTCAAGTGCACATGTGGTCAACCTTATGCTTGAACATGGTGTTCGTTATGGACAATCTGTGATGAGCACAGAAGTCCAGTAACAGAACACCATTTGGGTTCTGATCAGGGGCGCCTCCAAACCAAGCCCTTCCAGGTCTCAATGTCATTGCCCAGATGAGCATTGAAGTCCCCCAGCAGAACAAGAGAGTTCCAAAGGGGAGTGCTATCAGCACACCTGCAAGGCCTCAAAAAAGGGTGGATACTCAGAGCTGCTGTTTGGTGCATAGGCACATGCAACAGTCACAATCCGTTCCCCCACTGGAAGGTGGAGGGAGGCTACCCACTCGTCCACCGTGGTGAGCCGAATCGGTGCAGGCCCGGCCACCAGGTGCTCACCAACAGGCCCCACCTCCAGCTCCAGAGGGGGACCCTGGTGACCCGCGTCTGGGCAAGGGAAAACAAAATTAATTTATACTTATCACGACTAGGGAGCGGCCCGGTGGTCCAGTGGTTAGCGCATCGATCGCACAGTGCGGAGGTACTGGGTTCAATTCCAGCTCCGGCCTCTCTGTGTGGAGTTTGCATGTTCTCCCCGGGCCTGCGTGGGTTTCCTCCGGGTACTCTGGTTTCCTCCCACATTCAAAAAACATACATGGCAGGCTGATTGAACTCTCTTAATTGTCCCTAGGTGTGAGTGTGAGCGTGGATGGTTGTTCGTCTCTGTGTGCCCTGCGAGTAGCTGGCAACTGGTTCAGGGTGTCCCCCGCATACTGCCTGAAGACAGCTGGGATAGGCTCCAGCACCCCCTGTGACCCTTGTGAGGATAAGCGATGGATGGATGGCATTACTAGGGATCATAGGAATCATGTTTTGTCTGGTCCCTCACTTCGGACCTGTTAGCCATGGGTGACCCTGCCAGAGGCATAAAGCCCCAGACCACTTAGCTCCTAGGTTCATTGGGACATACAAGCCCATCCACCATGGTAAGGTGACGACTCACGGAGGGAATCCTAAGACCAGACCACAGAAAAATAAAAACTGTTTTCTTCAGGAATGATGTACTGTACATTTTTGCTTTTTATTGTAGACCCCAGTGTCTGGTGATGACTGGTTACCCTAATTCCCGTCCAGCCCTATTGGACCTGGTCCACAGCTTTACCAAAAACGTTGGTCTGATGATCTGTGGTCATGTTCGCACGGTGAGCAAATTCTTCTTTCTGGCAGAAAATTTCAAACAGTAGTATCTTATGTTATTTGTGAGATACATTTGCAACAGTATTGGACACACCTCACCCATTAAATAAAGACAAAATTTTGAAAATAAATTTCCTTCTGGCAATATTTTTCAGATTAATAATGATATGCTGCTGCCATTTATATAAATGAACTTAGCCAATTATTTTTTTTTTATTCTTATTATTACTACTACGACTATTGCTTCATTTATTTACATTACTATGTTCCATACGTGTCTGTGCCACCTTCCAGGGTTACAGAAGGCCAAACTTTAAAGATCTGGCAACAGACCAGTCCCGGTATCAGCGTTGGCTGCTGAAGAATGAAACAAAGGCTTTCTATACGCCAGTGTTTGCAGAGGACATGAGGCAGGGAACCCAGTACCTCCTTCAGGTAGGAAGACATGGCTTCTGTCATAAAGTGGCACTTGCGGTGAATCGCTTCTGATGAAATGAGCACTTATGTCGTAGGTTTGGGTGACTTATTCTTTTCCTTGACTGCATCGGTTTGTCCCCATTTATCCCCGCCCAAAGGATCGGGACAGCTGAGAGGGTGAAAAAGAGTTTTGCGCTAGAACTCAACAGTACTAACTTGATCTCAGTTTTTGCCGATGTTATCAACACTTGTATTATGTATAATAAATATACACATGCTTTACAGCAGGGGTGCCCAATCTGTTTTCACCAAAGATCTACTTTTCACACACAAATGCGTGCATATGCACGCACACATGCATACCATGATGTCCAACCGCCATAACGGACCCTAACATGGACAAAAACAGAAAAATAAACTAGATACAAGAAAAGACTGGGTTTGTAAAAAGGAAATCGTTGATTAGGCCAAACAAAAGAGATAGTGTGTTTCCGGTAACATGAAATTTCAGCATAGGGTCGGTAGGTCGGACAGTTTTTTTTTTTTTTTTTTTTTTTATCTCCCCCCCCATCAAAAATTTAAACAAAATAACCATAAAACATAAAACAAGAAGACATTGAACCCGCCACTTAGCGGCCAGTGCCGTCGCCACCTATTTAGTTTTCTCCCCGCTCCGGACCCGGGGGGCCGGGGCGCGCCTCCGCCGCCGTCCTCCTCCGCCCTCGGTTTTTACTCGGCCGTGGTCTTCATCAAATAGTTCGCTGATTTTTTTCGATACATCAATGGATGCTATTCTCTTAACATTACGGTGCAAGCATGCGACTGTAACACAGAAAACGCTGTTTAGAATGTCGTCGGAGATCGCGGCCGCCGCCATGTTTCAATGTTGTTGACAGACGACAGGGCAAACGACGCATGCGCTCAACGTGAA